ATTTTTAATGGTTGGGACGATAAAAAATAAGTTATGTACAAGTACACACAAAATCCTAAAATACGTAACGTCAGCCGATAACATCCGTAAATAAGGTATTTACTGAAATTTGTTCAATATATTTCCGGTAAATAAATTTTTCGGGAACCCTGCTCTATGTAGATTGCTGCCTATGCTGTAATACTTGTTGTGATTTGTTACCTCCTCCCCCTGCACCAATTCTTAATGACGATATGCAGGCTGGCACGTGCAGTTGTTGTTATCGTCGTTATCCGAGCATATAAGCATGACATTTATCAAAAAGAAATATTAGGAAGAAAAAACGTCAGAAAATGTTGCAGTTGCACTTTGCCAGTGCGCAGCCACGTTTTGTGGTCATTTCTCCATTCACCTTGGACACAGCACATTGGATCATGGCGAATAGCAGCAACGACTCCCTACGTCGCGTGGAGGCTTTCATAGCACAGCTAGCTGCCTTCAAGCGAGCGGCGCCAGTCCCAACAACCAGTTATCACATCGCCATCCACTTCAACTGAAGATGCCGATCACCGGGGTGTCAGAGAATTTGACGATCACACCTTGGAAGAGCCAAGCGACGAGGAGTGGAGCTGCAGTGTGGACAAGATTGACGCTCGTGACAGCGAAGACATGCATGAGTGCGATGTTGGACTAGCAGCAGTGATAGCAAACTGCAAGGCAGCATTTCGTAGAGCTGAAGATGGTGGATTAACGCCAGTCCAAGATAAGAGAGTCCGGAGCTTTACAATCAACGGGTGCAGCAAGAACAGGTCAAGCTCCACAACTACAACAACCACTTTGAGCCTAGAAGTTATATCGCCTACAGCTCTGAGTCGGACGTTGAAGTTGTCGAGTATTTTCTCGCACCTAACCGGGAACCTACGATAATTCACTCAGAACAGTCATCTGACGGCGAATGTATGACGACCACGATGGCTGGGCAGAGTGTGACGCTAGAGTTCCTGCAGAGTCTGAGCGACACAGGCAAGAAGGAGGCGCTTCAGTCCGCCATGGCGTGGTGCTCCACCAAGGAGTTGCGCAGTTTTTGTGGCGGTATGGGCGTGCGCGTGCGCAGTAAGGAGTACGCGGCTTACCAAACCAAGGCGGGCTACACGGAGTTGCTGACCCAGTTGCTGCGAGCCAAGAGCGCTAATAAACAGCTCGTGGTGGGGCCAGCACCGTCTCCTATCGTCGTGACGCCAGTAGAGCGAACGCGAAAGACTAAGAACTGCAACCTGCGCCTGCTCAACGTGCTTTTCTCGGACCGAATGGCGCTGTATTTGAAAGGAATGAACGCCGAGCCGACACAGGCGGAGATGGACGCAGGAGTGGTGGGAGGTAACAATCCCTTTTGGACCAGGTTCCGAGCAGAGTTCATTGCCAGCAAAGCCGAGTACAGTCGTCTGGCTTTCCAGGGACCCAGCCTCACGGGCTTCAATCTTTCCACTCCAGTGCCACATTCCAGCACCAAGTTGAGTGAAATGTGGGCCGAGTTATGGGGAGCGTATAACAGTGCTCTCATCCGGTTCTCACACTCCACAGACCCACATTTGGAGTTCGCAGATTGCTGCCCCAGTCGGAGCGATGTGTACTACATGCGATTGTGGCTTGGCGTGAAGCCGAATTTGCTATCGGAGATCTGTGCGCCGCTGCCAGGAACTACGACAGTGAACAGCGAAGCTCCTAATTCGTCAGAGAGTGGAAATGAAGGAATCACGAGTTTTGTGGCGATTCGACCTGCTCCAATGGAGCGTGTTGAGCATATGACTCGAAAGCGTCCGCGCACTACCATGAATCGAATGACGAGGGAGGCTGAGTTAGGAGCGACATCATCTGAGACGCAGAAAAAGGATGCAGTGAGAGCGTTTCTGATCCAATCGATTCGGCATTCGGCCGAGATTTTGACGATAGCGCGTAGATCGGATCTTGGATCCGAGGTTGAGGAGACTGTAAGATGTGAACTTCAGCAGTGTACGAAACGCTTGAAGAGGATCCAGCAGGAGGAGAAGGAAGAGGGCGAATAGGAGACAGAAGGTCGAACGGGACTCATTAATTAGCTATGATCGTTACGTAAAAGCGACCCGGTCGTGGTGTCCTATTATCTGGTGTTATGGACGTAGGTAGGTTTGCTCAATAGACGTGACGTGGCGTTGGTGAATATTACATCCGATAGTTTATTGCCTCTGGTCTAGAGTGATACTGAGAATCGTCACCGCAACTGGGGCCTTGGAGGACTCGCTCCAAAGGCAAAATGAAATTGTTCTGGGACAACGCGAATTCAGCTCTACTCAGAACATTGTGCATCCACGCTGTCCATCAGTAGCCATACCAACATTCAAGCTATTAAACCATCAGAGTCTATCTAATTCTGCAATATCTAGCTGGTCCGATTTCAAGTGGTACAGGCGCCGTGTCGTGGTGGTCTTGAAGTACGCTGCCATGTCACATTCACTTGCACCGGCACCGCTAGGAGCGAGATTCGCGTTCTGGAGCTTGCTCCGATCCTCGTCGGTGGTGCGAGTCGGAGCCGGCCGGCGGCACATCCGGTGTCCCCCATCGCGGAGCTAAATCCTCGCTCGCGCGGTATGGCGCCATTCAACCGCCTCACTGCAACACCGGCATGATTGCCAGCCAATTACTCGATTCGTATACATAAAGTCGGCAAAATATCCACAACGACGACGCACATTCCTGCAAAAACGCGACGAGACAAGTCGCCTTCGGCTTGATGAGTGTGTGTCTTCCTGAAGTTGCCGCCGTTGCAGCCCACCAGTGTTGAGTGTACTTGCCGGTGCCAGCACAGCACGCCTCATTCTAGAATTTGCACCCAAGAAGCAAGAAGCCAAGCAAGAAACAAGATGCTCCCGCCGCCTTCGCTCACCGTCGTCCAGATGCTGGCATCGGAGGAAACCATTGAGGAAGTCCCGTGCACATGCGGCGCCAAGGACTGGCACAAGCAGCAAAAGAAGCACCACACCACGGCAACCACCATCGAGGCCAAACAGTCCGCCAACGACCCTGCCGCAGCATCATCCAAGCTGCACCGCAGTCTATGGCGCAAGCTGCTCGGTGTGGGTCCGAAGTGCATCTGCCAGAAGCGGCGCGCTATCAGCTCCAGCACTACAACTCGTACCAAGCCAGGGCTCATTGAAATCCCAGCTGAATACGTGGGCTGCACGGCCGTGACCGTCTCCGGCAAGCGCGTCCCGTTCTCTCGCGACATGCAGCAGCAGTGCCGGAAGTCCTGGACACCACTCGATGCCATCGAAGAAGATGAATAGTTCAACAGCAATAGCTACCAAGCCTAACTAATATTATTCGCCACCATTCGCGCACACATCATTGACTTGCACACTTCCATCGGTTAGCATCGGTAAATCTACGACTTTTGTAGCAGCAACTTCAAGAATTTGTAAGTTGCAACAACAATTCTGGAAGCCGCAAAAGAAGGCAAGAAGCTCGGCGAAGAGACACATGATGAGGGCGCCGTCCAAGAGCGTCGTGGAGGGAATTCAGGCAGACGCGAAAGTAATGGTCTAGAAAGCGGGTCGTAGTTTTGGCAAGTCTGACGTGGGCTATAGCTACAAGTACAATGTAGGAAGCAAACTCTCCGTGACGTTATTAACGGCAAGCACAGAAGCGGTCGCGCTGGACGACCGCCCAAGTAAACTCCCGACGACGTGGCTCGTGACATCCGTAATCTACCCACAGGTCTCTCTGGAAGGGAGCAAGCCACGCGGCTTGGCATTCCAGCGACGTCATTACGGTGGATGAAGGCTAAGATTGCGACAGAATAACAGCCAATCCTCGCCCGATATCTCACAGCAAGTCATGGCGCGGCGGGTGTTCGGCATCGGCGTTGACATAGCGCAGGTGTCACGCTTCGAGCAGAGCTTTGTGCGCTTCGGGGAGCGGCTGCTGGCACGCACCTTGCATCCGCAGGAGATTGCCGCGTTTTACGCGCGGCCGAACGCCGAGCAGGCGACGTTCCTGGCGTCTCGGTGGGCGGTCAAGGAGGCAACGTTCAAGGCCTTCCAGCGATACCGCGTGCCGTTTCCCGAGATCCACGCAGTGCGAAGGGGAAATGAGGAGCTCGCAGTCCCAACGGCTTTGCCGGTGACGGAAAACTCCAAGGCGCTGAAGCTGCAGTTCTCGGGTGAGACGGAGGCACTGGCAAAGCGACTTCGACTTGTGGTGAGGAATGGGTGACAAATAATGATACCGCTTTCCCTATCGCTTACCTTGGTGCGGTGTACTTGGACAGGAACCAATGGTGTCGATTTCACACGACGGAGACTACGCCGTGGCCTACGTGCTGCTGCAACAGGAGACGAACGATGTAGCACCAAGTGCGGAGTGATCAAGTCAATGCAAGAATGGAGTCAGTCTACTACCCATATGCTCATTGTTGAAGCTCTACTTTGAATGGTTTATCTATCGAGGATACATCCTACATGGTCCTAACATCATACAAGAGGTGTAATCGTCTTCCTCCTGTTGGTTCCAACTCCTGGTTTCTGACTGATCTCCAGCCTTTAAAAAGATTCTTTCCGGATGCTGCGGCCGCTGTGGTCGCCGTAGATCTCGCGAATGAGGCCGATGACACGCTCCACCGCTGGCAATGAGAAGGTGGCAGCAGCCCACGAATCCCGTCGAGCCTCCTGCAGTAGCTGGTCCCACTTCTCGGAAGCCAAGGCGTCGGCCACGTCACGGAATTCACGCTCGTACTTCTTGCCCTCTGCGTGAGGAATCCGGCGCTGGGAAAGCCAGAAGAGGAAGGCGTTGGGCACACGTTCGGTAGCGTCGCGCTGATAGCGTGCCACGTCGTGTGCGATGGAGCCTTCCCACTCCATGTACTCACCGATGCGAGCCAGGAAGTTCAACCGCTCCGGTGTCACCAGCTCCGAGGCCAGTGCCAACGAGTCGATCAGCAGCAGCAACGTGGCTTGCCAACGCGTAGCCTGCACTGCGACGTACGCCAAGAATTTCTCCTCTAACGGTTGCTCAGTGGCAGCAGCTGCATCGTTAGAAAGCGTGCCGAGCTCGTAACTTCGGACGATGTCGTTCAGTAATCCCCACTGTTCCTTAACGAGACGAGCACGGAGCAACTTGTGCGGCACTTCCTGTTCAATGTGATAGTGCAACACTTGCCACAGAGCGAGGAACAGAGGCAAACCCGTCGACAGAATCTCGTCATCAGGATCCACATTCTCCACCATCAGGTCGTGGAAGAACTTGGCGTCCAACTCGTGCATCTCGCCGTCGTTGGCTCCGTTAGCAGATCCGCTGCTCGCCCCAAGGAGCTGCCGCATGAACGTACGGACCTTGTCGGGGCGCACCTCCATGAGACGGTATGCAATGATGTTGATGAGGATGGAGAGCAGTTGCAGCTTGTTCTGCAGCCCGACGTTCGAGCGCGACAGCAGCAGGTCGCTCTCTGAGCTCGAAGCGGAAATGACAATGGAGCGCATAGAGGCCAGGAACTTGAACATCTTTTCAAGTTGGTTGTAGCCCTTGTCGCCCAGCAACTGCCGCTGCAGTGTAGTCAGGGTTTTGTCACTCTTGCTCGGTGCAATGATAGCGATGTACTGCGGGTGCTTATTGGTGGCCTCGAAGGCGATGTTCAGACTGATCGTGTCCTCCAGCTCTGGGATCGGAATCTCCACGTAGAACATCGACGGCAGCGTCACCGATACTGGAGAGATTGGTGGGGAGTTGCTCTGGATCTCAGAGAACACAGCGTGCGCATGCAAATACTCCTTGGCCGTCTCCACGTTGATCGACTTTCGCAGCAACATGTAGCTGCACACCTCAGACACAAGTTCACTGGGAGCACCAGCAGCCACAGCAATGTTTCGAGCGTGGAGAGCCATGTGGCCCTTCTGGATACCCGTCACTGCAATAGCACGAATTGCCGCAAAGTTCTGGGCCAAACCAACACTCACAATGATGCCGCTCAAGTTGCGAGCTGTCGGCTGCTGCAGAATCGCGTGCGTGGCCGTGTAACCTGGGTGAGTCATCAACGCTCCGCCCTTGGATCCAACCGCGATCGGCATCTCCAAGCTGCCACGCAGTACGCGCGTTCCGGAACCATCGCGAGCAACTCCGATTTCATAGTGCGAAAGCGAGGCGTATTGTCCCGAACGGCTAGCATAGCAGTGCGCAGCCGACTCAATAGCGCGCCAATCCTGTCCAGTGGCCACAGCAACAGCATCCACGCCGTTCATGATTCCCTTGTTGTTGGTCACTGCACGGTACGGGTCGATAGCAGCGAAATTGTAGGCCTCAATAATACGGTTCGCCACGTCTTCACCATCCACTCCCTTCCATCCGAGCTTCTTCAGAGGAATCTCGAACTCAGCGCGAGCACGGCGCTGCATGCAGAGGTTGGTGAGAATACGCAGACCCACACGACTGCGCGTGATCTTGGACACTTCTTCGGACAGACCCTCTGCAACGGTGTTGACAATGTTGGCTCCCATGGCTTCACACACGTCAACGTCGATGTGCACGACCAGAAACTGCGTCTGAGATTCAGAGGCATTCACTACGAGTTCGTCGTCGCACGGAGTGTACCAGGCGCTGCCAGCAGCGGCAGTGGCAGCAGTACGGGCGGCCTGGCTGACCACACGACAGTAAATGTCAACGGCACCGCCGCCACGCTTCTTCATGTTGGGGCAGAGCGTCGTGTTGGCGAACGACAGTAATCGCTCGCGGTTGCATTCGATCGCTGCGATAGCTGCCGGGATATCCTCCGTGCCCACTAGTTGGATCTGAGACGTCATGATGTTGCCGGATGTCGCCGTGTGGAAACCACCGCCAGCAGCAGCCACAAGTTTAGCTGCACTGGAGGCTGCTGCCACAACCGAGGGTTCTTCGACAGCCATAGGCACGGACAGACTCTTACCGTCGATGACGAAGTTAAGACCGAGACTGTGGCAACGAGACAAAACTTGTGAGTAATCAACCCATTGAATACAGTATTTCTTCAAGCAAACTCACCCAAGTGGGACGCCAAGCACGCCGATGCAGTTCTCGATCATGAGGTTGGCAGTGCGCAGCGGCAGCTCGCCAAGTTTAGCCGCCGGGTCCGAATGCGGCAGGATGTCGGCGGCCACGTCTGCACCTCCAGCGTGCTGCGTCTTGAGCGTCTTGAGGCGCGGGTACATGAGCGCCAGCACGTCGAATCGCTCGCGTAGCGTCTTGTTATAGAATCCGGACCACACAGAGGGCTGCGGGGCGGCGTCCTGCAGCTTGGTGCTGCTGCTCCAGCTCTCACTTGCATCATGGCTTGGTTGCAGTGGCTCGAACTGCTTGGAGGCGACGTCTGCGCATTGGCGCTGCACTTTTGCAGCCAATGCGGCCACCTGGGCAGCCTTGCGCTGCAGTGCGTCGTCCCGTGCCACGCTCTGTGAGGTCTTGAGCGCCGTGCGCAGCAATGCCAGCGTCTGGTCCAGCGTCGCTTCCAGCTCCGTCCTGGGAGTCGCCAGCGCCATAAGCGCGTCACCGTCCAATGTTTGGTTGGTCATCGTCAAAGGCTTTTGAGCATGTGCCGGCGAATACGAAAGTGACGTACGAGGGACGTAAGGCCAACGCGCGACGCTGGAAACGCTGTCCTCGGCGGTCCCGTTTCCGTCGATTGTGCCCACATCACAAAAACACCGCGCAACATAAGTGTGGACCACATTTGTCATGCAACAATCAGGCAACCTCCACGCAACTTGTGTGATGACGAGCAACTACTAACTTCAGCTTTACACAGTAGCAGACGTTGCATTGCTATTATGAGCTCTGGCAGCTGGAGGCAGTAGCGTGGGGAACACCGCTGGGAACCATAGGAGACGCTGTGAGTCGGCATTCAGATCCAGGAAGAGCCGCTCAAACGCGGCCAGGAAGCGTCGGGCAAAGGTGCCGAGGAGCTTTAAGTTGCGCGTCACCGGCCAGGACACCCCCGGAAGATTGTGGACGAGCCTTTCCACCGATCGCCAGACCGAACGATGCAGCTCACCAGGCAGTGGCGTGGGTGCAATGCGAATGCTAACTTATTATTTATTGTTCGACCCGATAGCGAGAGAGAGCGAAAGAAAAAGAGAGGAAGCTCTCTCTAGCTTTTGATTTACTCTGAAGCAAAGTGGCACTTGCTGGATGTAGGTGAGGCATGCGTTGATCCCAGTGAAACCTTGCCCAAGTGAGAATCTATCGGGGTGACGTGGCGGTCGGTCCATTGCAAATTGCAATTGGACGGTTTGACCATGGGTGAGAGACATGGATAGAGGTCTCATGTTGAAGTGAGCGATTTGGTTGGTCAGGAAGGTCGTGGAAAACCGTGGGGGCCGAAGTAAACATGCGGACGTAGTTGCTGCTAGTGGATGCGGACTCCGTGACACAGGAAGATCGAGCTGGTGGCAGTGAATGGCATGCCTAGCGTAAGACATCAGAGTTACGAACAGCCTCGACACTGCGGAATAAGATCTCATGCACTGCCCCAACGCACGAGTCCCGCCTCGGATGGTGACAATTGCAGCGACGGGGAGGTCTGCAATGTTGTCGTCGAGCGAAATGAGATGAGTCAGAAGCCAACGTGACCCTGTCACTGAGTGCCTCACTCGTGCTGGTCACGAGTCTTGGCCAGCGGGTACTGGTGTCGAATGAAGCAATGGTGATGCCATGCTTAGAATAATGGATAGCCTAGCTGGAGCTTTTAATTACGTAGAGAACATCGTGCGCAATTTATGAAGTCATCATCAAGCACACTAAGTTGGCTGATAACCACATCGGATATCCTGCTTGAGGAGAGCCTTGTTTGCATCATGAGACGTCGACATCTCACGCCATGGATTCTTCTTCCCAGTCGTCATAGTCGTCGTCGTAGGAGTCCTCTGGACGAGGCGACATGGCCGTTTCGGATGAATCTGCTGGCTTGGCCTCTAGTTCGTCAGCTGGTTTAGCTGCCTCGTCTTGCTCGGCCTCGTCGTGGTCTGATCTCGGAGGTGACGGTGGCGTGTCTTCAAAGGGCAAGTCGGCGGCATTACCGCCTTCTGCCAAAGCAGGCAGACCCAGCGAGTCATAACTTTCCTCCTTTGCCAACTGATCGGCGTAGTCTTTAGACTTGTCAGCGCGGACACCCCCGACATCTGACGTGCCGTCGAGTCCGTATCCGCTCGAGTACTCCACCGCATCGCGCAGCTTCTTGCTTAACAAAAGCACCAGCTCTTCTTCCAGCTTGCTATTTGGTTCCTTCTCGTCGTGTTTCTCTCTCCAGCAGAGTGCCTTCCAGTAATTAGGCAACTCAAGCATGTTATCACAAGTCTAAGTAAAAAATCATGAGTTAGTTTATCAAATATCAACTAGTAATGTTTGAATACGTACATGTGCCTGAGGGAGCATCTGCGCACATTTTTTGTGATCATCTGACGAAATCGCTGTGAACGGCATCTCGATTCGTAGGAACTAGCGGACGCAATTCAGATTAGCAGCAATTGAGCGAAATCAATAGATAAATCCGCTAACTTACCTCAGTTCCTGGCAAGGGTAGAGTATCCACACCGGTCACGAACTTGATAAACTTCCGCTTTAGCTGGGGTTCGAAGCTGTTCACCGTTTGCCAGAACGCATTCATCAACGCCCGACAACCCGTGAAGTCCGTATCAGCGGCCACTCGGAAGACTTCATTAATGACAAAATCATCGCCAGGGCCACCATTGCTTCCACAAATGCTTTCTACCAGGTCTGCCTCAGTGATCCCAACACTACTAAGCTGGTCAATACCAATGACACGAGTGAACCCGCCACGAATAACTTGAAGTTGCCACCCGAATCCAGAGGCTGGGCCGAACTTCTCTTCTAGCACATTACTGATGTACGCCTCAACACTTAGACCCTCGTGAGCACCTTCGAACTTGAGAAACTGTGAAAAATCTAACGGCTTCATGTCTTTCATCCCCGATAACGATGTGAATAACTGTGGGTCAAATGATTGAATCTCTTCCAGCGTCACACAATGCTGAGGATTCAGCAATAAGTGAAAGAATAGCGGGTGTATCCTCAGCTGGATCGAGCTGAAGTGCGTAACAGCACTAGCGAGAAACCATCCAACAAATACGAGTACATTGCGATTCTCACGTGAATCACGTGTGGTCTCGTTCAGCCAGTAGCTTTCAGAGCCTTGCACATACTCGAATATAGCCGTAATGGGCTGTGAAAGCCGCAGTTGAGACGCCACGAATGAATGGTATTGCACACTTCGATCTAGTAAGAAGTTATCGTGTTCCATGCGCTTGTTGATGACTCGACGAATCGTTTCTCCTTCGCTCGTCTCCCATTCAACCTGGAAGCCTGGACAAATCATATCGCTTGCCCCAGGAATTGTAATCGTGTTCCCGCTTGCTGTTACTTGAGTCGAATATGCGTCTGCCAAAATGTTGCTTAATGGTACTTGTTTCCATTTAGACGCCAGCTGACTACCCACGAGTGTAAACCATTCCTTCAGAGGGCCCTTTCCTTCACCTTCTTCAACTTTTACTCCATCCACAAGCTTTTCACCGAACGAACTCTTGTAAAAAGGAAAAAGAGAGAAGTTCGAGATAGCCTTATCAGACGAGAAGTGCGTACGCCGAACGTACTCGACACTCGACTGTAATACATCTTCGCGATCACAGATGACAGTAACCTTAGGAAATATAGCTAGATCGCCTTCATCTTGGGATTCTTGGTTCGACCAACTGCACAATTTCACAGCAAGGAGAATCGTCTTACACATCGGGTCTAGCATAATGTAGAGGTGGTCGGTAGACAGTCCCATTGCTGCAAGAACACTGCTTACTGGATGCCAATTGTCACTGAGTTCTTCTCGGGGCTGGTTAACCAAGTATGGGTAGAACACCTTCACAAGCCGGCTCAGTCCTACAGAGATTGGTGATCGGTCCTTAAATGATGCTAAGGCGTCGTTATCTGCACCGAGTAGAAAGACGAGCAGCATCGAAGCAATTTTGACAAACTCCCATGTCGAGTTATGATATTCCAGACGCACAGCTTCTGCAGTTTCAAGCACCTCCTGGATCTCAATCTCGGATACTAGCGAGTTTTTCAACCGAAGGGAAGCTTGAATGGCTTCCGCGACGACAGAACAGATATCATCCAGTACAACTTGGCATTCTTCAATCAAGTGTGATGCTAGATCGAGCTCTTGCGCCACATCACTCCACAGAAGACTCCTCATGGGTGTTTCAGGAACTGTAAGCCCGTACTGGTCCAGCATTGAGATTATCGAGCCCTCCATGCACTCACTAATCGATGAATGTCGCTGGAGATTCTCTTTCAATGCTCGTGTACTGTGCCACATCAGACAACTCTGCGCGTTTACTTCGGTAGGTCGATTTTCATCTTCGAGAAACGTCCATCGTTTTAGCTCGCTTTCCAATCTTTTTGATATGGCCTGGGGGTCATCGGTTTCTGGAACAGGTTGATCATTTTCGGAGGCTACTAGATGCTTGTCTGGCTCCATACCTTGGATACGTGATATGTTATCGATTGTTGCTGGTGCTATCGCAGAGTATGGACTTGTCACTCTGGTATCTGCATTGACATCAGTGCTGGTCTTCTCTTCGTCAACATCTTCATCGAAGCTGTTATCGTACTCCGAGCCATTAGTATCTTCTGTTCGGCTCGTTAATAATTTTTCAGGTGAGGCAGATCGGTTTATAGCTTCATCGTGTGTAGAATTTTCCGGAGGCGCTGTTTGATCAGATACGATAGTCTCTGGTGCGGCGCTAACGCTCACAGCTAGGGTATCTTCTGCTTGCTGTACATCATCACTTGCCTCACTCATTCCATCGTCATTACGACCGCCCGCTTTGGCATCGAAGCTGTTGTCGTTCTCTTGTTGATTGTCGCTTGTGTTTGACCGAGGTGAATGCTGCTCAGTGCCAAGACCTGGTTCAGCGGTGGTACCCAACGCTTCAGGTTCAATATCCGGTACAATCTCATCCGCAGGTGTATCATTGTGTTTCTGCTCTGGACCAACAATATCACCAGTGTCTTCAGTTGGAGACTCGGATATCTCTGATTTCAATTGTGGTGCACTGGCTTCAGGTACACACGGTTCGTCATTGTTATCGATATCGTCCATAGAATTGTCCCCGTAATCGGATTGATTGTCTGTCGGCCCGTCAGCTTCGCCATTCCCCAACGGTTCATCTCCATCGTCTGGTTCCAAATTGTTGTCTACAGCATCAGTCAAACTTCTCCCTGTCATTGGTCTGGCCGATTTCTCCTCGCTTGCATCATTACTGTTGTAGTGTTCGTCTTCACACGCATTTGTAGCGTCTGTTTGTTTAGTATCACCGTCACGTGAAGCGCTTTCGCGGGTAAAATCCAAGCTCTCGTCGAGCAAATTGACAAGATCCGCTGCAGATTCATGATCGTGACGCTCCAACGCTTGCTTGTTGATAGTATTCAGCTGCATTTTCTCAATGTTGACAGTCGGATCATTATTGTCATTTGCTGCATTCAGTCCAGCAGTTGAATTCGTCCGGGAGTCAGTCTTTCCGTTGTCCGCCTCGGTCTCCTCGCGGTCAGAATCGCGCATTCGTCCACTAAGTGCAAGTAGCTCCATTGGCGTCATCTCCTTCGCAAACTCTATCATTTCCAGGATGATAGAGTGAGCAGCCAGTACTCGACCTAGTTTTTGATTCGGCCTGATCAGCAGGGGGTTTTGTTGCTTAAAGCAATCCAAATTGACTCCTCTTGCCGCCAGTTCCGATTCTGCGAAATCCAAATCATTGAACATCTTAAGGAAATAGTTTCTCCCACGCCACAAGAACGGTGGAGGAGTTCTAGACACCGCAATATCCGAGTTAGTACCATGCCAAGCACCAACTTAATTCCAATGAACTTACTCTGCCTGCGCTCCAGCCTCAAGCATCCATTCGACTAGTGCTTCAACACATTGGATTCCAGTAACCTGTAGATCTGTAGCGAGTTGCTGAGCTAGCTTCGTAGCTTCGCGAGCGTTTGTCATTGCACCAGGATTGCCACTATGTCGACTTAATGGTGCTGGTGCTAGAGCCATCCCTCCTCTCGACCGCATTTGTTGTCTACCCGCGTTGTTAACCGTTGGGGGCTCAGTAGGTCTTGACGGTATGAAGAGTGATTCTTGCACGGGAGTACAGAGAATTAAAGCACTCAGCTGATACAAAAGCGTCTCGCGGGCGTCGATGGCTTTCAGAACCTTAAATCGCAGCTTTTCTTCTTTGGTAGGCTGTGCAGCTTCCTGTTTAACAACGCAGAGTATCAGTATCTGGTGCAACTACTCAAGAAAACAAGACAACAGAGAAGTGATGTACTGGTGGGGGCTTTGACAAAGTGCTCAGTGGAACCAGCTTCCCACTCGACGGCTTCTTTGGCGCACGGTTGCGCTTTCCACCACGTTTACCTAGTAGTTAACTCTTAAGAACAATTGGTAACAACCAGGAGTGAATCTTTGTCGTACCATACTGCGCTCGCTCGTTTTGGATCCTGGACTCTTTACTTAATGGTGTTGCTGGGGTACTGAACGTAGGAGAGTGAGGCGGCGACGGCACTTTGTTGGATTTGGGCGGTGGATCGATTGCGAAGCGATCATTCCAACCTTGTTCTCGTCGCGATAACTCCTCTTCTGAAAGCTTAACGAGGTGGCGATGACCTCGTGCGGAATGATTGGGTTTGCGTCGACCAGCTTTCCTCGGGTGACGTTGGTCGAGTAAGTTCTTCGCTACAAATTCCCGCTTGGCTGTCGCCATGGCCCGTTCGCTTTACGCTGTGATGAGGTTCGTTCAAAAGTCCATCATGGTCGGTCGGCACACGGAAATAGCTTGAGTCGAAACTCCTGCATCATGAAGCTTGTCAATTGGCAACGAGTTCTCGTCAACACTTTTTATATTTGCCGTCGACTAGTTGGCCTTCTGCCGTTTGATGTCGGCTTTGACGGCCATCTTGCACTCGGTTATTGCCTCCATTTCCTTATCAAGAGCAGCGATCTGACTCGGATCGCTCAGTTTGCTTCGTTCTCGACGTAACTTGCGCTCACGCTCGCGTAGGGAAACCAGGAGTGAGAAATCGGACGACGTAAAGGCTTTAGATTCACCCAAATCATCCATCGGAGCAGACACCTCGGACGTCTCGTGGAAGTTCGAACCACCAACATAGAGACCGCCAGTGCAAAGGAGCACTAGCCACAAACCGGTAGCATGGTACGCTCGGAATGACAGCAAATGCATCTTGAGCGTCGACTTCCACTGCTTCACTACGGCCCCCTGCTGGTTCGAGCATGGCTCGCATTGCGGGTAAAACCGGAACGTCGTCTTCCGGCCCAAAAGTTTCCGCAGCAACTGCTCATCTGTGCGTTTAGCCACCCTATCACCAAAGAAACAGTCCACACAAGAGGTTACAACCCGAAAGGCAACACAAACAGAGTTAACTGGGCCTACAATTTAGGCGGCATGTGGTCTGCGTGGTATCTCACGCCGCGCTTGACGCCGCATGTGTGGCAACCGAAGAGTCGTCCGAACTCCTGGATGATTCCTCTTTCCACACTCGTGGCGTACTCGACCGTGGCTGGCAGCGATGCCTTTTTGAGGTGGAAAGCCCCCAGATTAACGAAGGGCGAGGGTGCCAGTGCGCTCATGCGGCCTCCTAGTAGCTTAAAGCACATCAATCCCATGGCCATGTATACCGGGTATGGGGCCTGCGGGAGGTCCTCCCAGCGCTCCTGTACTTTAGTCTGTAGCAGTTTCCAGGCCGTGGGTGGCTTCAGGTTGCGTGCGCCGAGTACGAGCCAACTCCGCTCATTAGCGCGTCGGCTCTGTGCTGCCAGTTCCTGGTAAACCTCGCGTGGAATGGAGGCAAAATGTAGCGCCAGAATAGAGGATGAGGCCACTGCGGCAGCCCCTACTGCCTGAGGTAGCAGGAATCCGGAGGCTGAGCCGATGCGGAGCAGCTTCTGAGCCACTTGTGCCGCCGAGACACCGCCCAGAAACAGTGCACCACCTGTAGCCGCATCCAGAACGTGAGCTGTCAGCGCCTCGTACACAGACAGCGACCGATCACTCGCAAAGTCACGGCGCAGACGCTGAGCGGCAGCATCGACCCACGAGTCCATGTCAGCGCGGAACAGAAATGATAAGCAGATGTGATGAATTATTTTAACTTTAGGTGGATTTACATAATTTGAAGGTTGAAGTCGATGACACATGGCTACATTCTGCTATTTTGGAGTTCGGCTTCAAGAAGCACATAAGTTCCTTGGCGCATGGAGGAGGGAGATGTTACTGCGAGCGGCGAGACGCCGCGCAACCGGCGTAGATCGCTGGCCTCGCAGATGGAAGAAATGACCAGCGACGGCGCCTTCATGCGGGTTATCGCTCGCAAGGGCCCACAGGTGAACCTATGCCGCACCATGTTGCACAAACCGACGGGGAAGCGCACGCTCGAAGACATTCACGTGGTGAGTTTGACTGATACAATGATTGATCCTCACAAATGTCCATCTATTGAGCTCTTTATTGCAGCTCAAATCGCTGTTCGGGTCGTCCAAGTTACTCCAGTTCTTCTCCAATCTAGACGCATGTTTGTATTGAAATTGAAGTGGTAACTATGTTATGCTGGATTTGTTTTGAATCTTGTTCATCTCCCGCACCTTTGCTCTATATGTAGTTAAGGTGGGTCCAAATTGTCCTTTTTGTAACTTCGAGAAGTCTTGTGGCTAATTAATACTGTTGTTGCGGTGCAGCTTGATCGACTGTATCAATCGCTGGAACTTGTTGCATATGCTGAGAAAGGGGCGTATGTCTTCCACGAGGTCTGGTACTGTTTGTTAGCTTGATTATGGTACATGTGTCGAATACTGGACTTATCGACATTGTTTCTCTTCTGAAGGGTGACGATGGCGATAGTTTCTACCTTGTCTACACTGGTCGAGGTAGGAGAATCGTTATTTCTAATGTTTCTTTGTCTAAATGTGAGTATTGGTGCAGTGGAAGTAGTGAAAAAGGAGGTCGGCAATCCAACTCGCCCCAATGGAACCATTCATTTAGCCTTCTTGGGCCCAGGAGATACCTTTGGAGAGCGAGCTTTGCTTTCCAGCACTGATGTGCGGTCAGGTGAGCTGCTTGTCACCATTATTTGACTAAATAGGTATTTGATTCTAAACAATTATCGGTTTTAGCGTCTGTGATTATATCAACAGCACCAACGGAGCTAGTTTTTATCAATCGCGTCGTGTTCAGCGAGCTGCTCAAGGAATCACACGACTCCAGTAATACTGCTAATACGCTCGAGATAACCAAACGCTTCCGCAGCAACAAAGACATCGTCCGCAATATTTTCATGAGAAGCTCTGCTCAACGATCCGAGAAGGACCTAAAATTTGCTGTCGAGTACTTGAAGAGTGTCAAATTCTTTTCTCGATTTTCGTTTGAAGTCCGAAAGCAGCTTTGTAAGGTGTTGCGTCTCATCAGTGCTGTCACTAACACGGTGCTTTTCGCTGAAGGTCAGGTGGGACGGCATTTCTACATCATCTTTTCGGGTTGTGTGGATGTATCTGTGCGCACAAAGAATCGCTTCGATGAAACAAAAGAGAGCGTTGTCTCGAGGCTTGGCGAAGGTGAATACTTCGGCGAGTTGGCACTCTCCCAGGCTGACGGTGTTCGTCGTGCCACCGTGCTGTGTACCGAATTCTGCGAACTGCTTATTCTAGGTCGAGACGAGTACGAGCCATTGATTAAAAAGTACCAAAACGAGTATCACGCTCAGTACGCGCAGATGCTGCGAAAAAATCCCTACTTCATTGGCCCCGAATGGGATGACAATACCATCGAAGGCATGTGCTCCGTTATGACTGAAAAGTATATTCCGTTTAAAGGCGAAATCTGCAAGCAGGTAAATTATTCACTCGATAGGTTTCATTCTTCCCAATCTGACTTTCGGTGTTACAGGGATCACGTGCTAGCGAGCTCTTTATTGTGACGAGAGGTGAATGCCGAATCATCCATGAAGGAAAACACCCTATCACAAATGCGCGTCAGATTTATGAGCTCGGAAGATACGGTCCCAACTCGGTTTTGGGCTGTGCGGAGTAAGGTTTCTTCATTGGGAGTAAAATTCTGACGGTACTAATATGTCGCACTGTTCACAGGGCATCAGCAGGGAAGTTTAACGACATTTTCATTCGTGAATACTCCATCTTAGCGGAATCACCGATGAAAATCCTGGTTCTTTCACGGTTTGACATCTTTCACCTCATGTCGGCAGACGCTCGTGCTAGTTTACAGCGCTCATCAAACGGATACATTCGCGAATCTATCCAGAGTCGTGCAATTAAATCTTTGGCATGGGAAAAGTACAAGAAAAGCTTCATCGGCAGTGTCATGGCTGAAAATCAACACCATTTGTTTGGGACTTATAGAGGGGGACATTCTGATGGTGCTGTAATACCCACTCAATCCAGCACCATGTTGGGGAAATCGCAATCTGCACCACTACTTCCGCTTAGCGACGCTCGCACACTGGTCGATCCTGGCTCTCTCATGCTTGAACGTCGAAGAGGAGTAGGAAAGACGAGTGCAGCTAAAGTGGTGCGGTCGACAAGCGGAAGCCAAAGTAGTGACCAGCAAAACAATCGTGAAAGTGCTAAAAGTGCATCTGGAGTGGATGAACCTCAAACTGGCAATGGGTCACCTCCTCCTGTAGAAAACTCGGACCGCTCTCCGATCCCTCAAGAGAACGGGAACATAAAAGCCACTCGATCCGCTTCCGGGTCGTCACTGCTTCGGCGAGGGTCATCAGTAACACCAGCGAAATTGCAACAAGCAGGAAATCGGGCGAAGCTGCCTCCTGTAGCTCATGAAGACTCAACCCCCAGCACACAGTCGTCGCTAACTCGTTACAATAGTAGTAAGTCCCTAAATCGTCGAGTCAATGGGGCCGACGGCAGCAATGTGGAAAAAAGTGCTCGTTCATTGCTTCCTGCGGTGTCTCCGATCAAAGAAGCCAACGAGGAATCGTCTAGTACAAAAGAATACCGCAGTGATTTACGTCGCTGCGGACGTGTTCGTGCAGAGAAAATTGACAATACAATCAGCGGTGCTAAGAATGGTCCAGCAGGAACATCTACCGGTGTTGCAGCAAACGCAGCCACAATATGGGACCCTGTGCACGGTGTGTGCCAGCCTTTCGCCGTGTTGGGATTCATGAAGGAGCAAGCCACTCGACCCGCGTCCAGAGGAATGTCTTTGTCATTATCTTCAGCAGGCAAATTATCCAAGTCTGCCAAATCAGCTGCGGATCAGCTTCGTAAAGTGGCTGCGGCTGTAAGTGCAGCAGGCCACGCAGAGTTCACTCGCTTCCGGGTATTCGGCAAATTCCGCGATATCGATGATGCCCTTAACTTGTTTCGACAAATCTGCGCAGTAGAGAAGACTGCGGGGCAGTCAGACGGACAAGACTGCAGTCGCTTTGCTATCTACAAAGAGGACGAGATGACGATGGCACTGGAGAACTTCCCTAGTGTTATTACTGGTGAGGCGAAGGGGCCCATCTTCGCCCAGTTCAGTGCTGCAGACCTGCCTCAAGCCACGGGTCAGCGCTTTGCGTGCGTGAGCGTCTCACTCCAGTCGCCTCGACCCGCGTGTATTGAGGCCATCGTTGTTCATGTATACCAGTGTTTCCCTACTCCACAGAGCGCCGTGAGATTCGCTCGACAAGTGGCGGCAACACTTTTGGCTCCAGGTGCTTTGAGCATAGTGCCTCTATTCGAGTGGATCCCACTGACGGAACTGGAGCGATTCGACGCTCGCAACAACGACCTGGAGCAGGAATTGGAGCTTGCTATGCGTCGTGGCGGCCGGGAGAGCACGTGGAAGGCCAGGAAGGAGGCTATCAAGAAAGTAATCCACCAGCACAAGTTGAAGTCACCAACGTAATATTGTGGTCAACTAGTGCAAATTTCACAATAGATAATCTGATACCGTGACATTTTTTTTCTTCTGCTGGAAGTTTGCAATAGTTCAGAATGGGCCCACGCACGGCAGTGACGCTCAACATCTACGACCTCGTGGAGGCCAACGAGTTCATGGCGCGTGAGTGAATCTGTTTCGTCCGTTTATTTGACAGCCTGATCTTTGACAATTGCTCCTAATACTTGCAGCGCTGGGCTTCGGCATCTTCCACAGTGGCGTCGAGATCGCAGGAGAGGAATTTTCCTACGCGAGCGGCGCCGGCGTCTTCTCCTCGAGCCCCAGACAGGCTCCCGGTATCGTCGTAACATTTACAAGACTATTGTTTAGGATATTTTTCTAACTTTTACTTCTGTTTACAGGCGCCAAATTTCGGGAGTCGATCGACATGGGCTTCTTTGAGGGAACGTCCCAGGAGGCCCATCGCCTGGCCTATTCGTTGAGTCCAGACTTTGAGGGAGATGCCTACAACCTGTTCACAAGGTATGACAAGGCGTCCGTGTATTCAAAATGGGATACTGAGGACTTTTGTGCTTGCCCAACAGGAACTGTAACACATACGCAGATGCCTTGTGCCAACTGCTGCTGAACAAGCCCATCCCTGGTTATGTGAACCGCGCAGCCTACCTCGGATCGTTCCTGAGCTGCCTCATGCCGGCAGACTTAACAGACCAAGCGCCGGTGGGAGATCCCAGCACGCCCTCGCGGATCACAAATGGAACCCCACGACGCTCTGATTTTATCTACACTCCATTCGCAGGTGCGTTCCAACTCGCTCGACCATGCCTAGGCAATAGGTACTAAGCTAATGTGTTACTACGTTCATTGCTACAGGCTCTGGTCAAACTGTTGGCAGCACTGTGGACGCTTCATCGTCTTCGGAGTCATCGACGCTGGCTGATCGACGCGAGAAAGTTCGCTTGGCAGCGTTACGCCGAATGGGTGAGCAGGGGCAGTAGCCTCTTGCTCTCGTTAACACTCTCGACCAAGTAGTACTGGTTATTGCTAAATATGAAAAACCTTCTTTGAGCAGGCGACTTTTGTTAAGGAGTTTCAGCAACTATCTGTTAGTTCGTGAAGGGACTACTTTAGTGTTGCTGTCGTCGCCATGGGGAAGCCGCCTTCTCCAAGTAAGAAAGGTAGTGGATACATCGGCAGTCGTGCATTGGCGAGCGACACGCGATCCGAAACTGGGTCTACTGCGTTCGAAGACCCAGACGGTGTTGTGTTATCAACTCCCCCACGAGTAGAGAGCACGATTGTGAGTCGCGAGACCGCAACACATCACGCTTTTGCTAAAAGGTAATGGAATTTGACTGTTTAAGTCGAAGCTAACGATACGCTTGTGTATGCCTGTGGTTAGTCGAAAGGAGGATTTTGTCTACGCCCCTACCAGGCACTATATGCACATTATGAATGATCATTGCCAATGGAATCACGAAACTCGATCAGCTCTACTAGTGGTGGTCGGGCAACCAGGCGACGGCAAGTCGGCATTACTCGCCAACTGGGCGGAAGAGAGACGTCGATCAATCAAAGGTGAACGAGAGCTCATCTACGAGCACTACTGCGGCTGTTCTTACGACAGCGTGAAGCTTTCGTTGTTTTTATTCCGATTCATGAATCAGCTCAAGATCTCCTACAGTTTACGCGATTTTGAACTCCCACGCGAGCACGAGGAGGAAAAACTGAAGTTCTCCTTTAGTCGATGCTTAGAGGCTGCGGTTGGAAAGGGAGAACCAGCGTCAGGACCAGCATTAATGAGAAAACGGTAAGATGTTGGCATCATGTGATTGATTTTTCATGTTAGTAATTGCCTCGTGTATGTTGCGAACAGTATTATCCTGGTTCTGGATGGCATTGACTGTATCAGGACTGAAGACGGAGGGGATTCTCTGTCATGGCTTCCCAATACCTTCCCTCCCGGAGTTCGCATTATTGTTTCAACTACTCAGACCAACCCAAAGAGCCATTTGCATCGCTGTCAGAAAATTAACCGTGTGCCAGCCGTATACGACAGCGAGTATGTCGGATCACTTCGCTTTTTTATTCGGAGCGAATTCTCACATGTTAAGTTGACTGTTGATGTCTGCTCAGTGGTGATTTAATCTATGATGTTACGCTACCATCACACGACAAAGAATCTCGTACGATCCGGGAGCTGCGCCGACGCAATGCGGCTTTCATGGTGGTGGAACCACTCGACGAAGTTTCCTGCTTGGCGATTCTTGAGGTAAAAACCGTGAATTTAGTCGGTGACATTGGGGGCATATCTAATATTCATCTGTATAGATGTACGAACAAAGATTTTCTCGCGAATTGGATTCCGAATTTAAGCAGCTAATAGTCGGCGCTCGTGGGAGCTCCAGCCCTCTTTACGTGAGACTTTTGCTTCATGGCCTCGAGCTTTTTGACCCAAGCGAGAATGGGCGACGCCAACAATGGCTTGAAGAGGCCTGCGAAAGCAACCAAGTAAATGGGGTCTATGAGCTTTTAATGAAGCAGTGGAATGCCATACTGCTGAAAGATCTGTTTGCTGAGCTCCACGAACGCACAGCACTGTTTGAGAATGCTGCGCCGAGCTCTTCAAATAGCGGAGTTTTGTCACCCACGAGCGATCGAAATGGAGCGTTGCGAAGCTCAGCTAAAGGTGGTTCTTCAGAGTTACCTGGTGGCAACAACTGCCCCATCGACCAAGGAGACATCGAGAGTCTTCAGATTAAGATCGAACAGCGTGCTCTTTTGGTCCGCCATACGCTCTCGCTTCTTGCTGTGTGTCGCTATGGGCTATCTGAGAACGATTTTACACGACTATTTGGTGACAGTGTGCCACGGAGTGTTTGCCAGCAGCTCTTAACTCTCCTAAAGCCTCATTTGATGATGATTCGCAGACTCGACTGTGGACCAGCTTTTCAGTTTCACCACAGTCCAACCCTGGTATCAAATACCAAAAATGGTGGCAATCAAGATAATGGTGGCGAAGCAGTAGTGCTGTACGATCTCAACCACAACCAACTGCGGCTCCTTACACGTTATGGATTCCTAGGCGACGACCAGCTTCGCAACTGCTACTATCGCGAGCTTGCTATATACTTTGAAACCATGGAGGCATGTCAGCGCCGCGTCGATGAGCTACCTGTACAGTTGGAACGCTGCTCCATGTGGAGCGTGCTGCAAAACGCACTAGTGAACATGAAAATGTTCCAGTTGTGGTGGAGCGAGCGGAATCGGCAAGAGTTTTTCTTCTATTGGATGGTGTTGTCCTCCAACTGCTCCCTTCATGACCCGGTGGATGACTTTGTCCGCTCACTGGATGAATACATTGCTCAAGAAACGCCCAGTCCAGAGCAATTGCTGTCCATTTTCCTCACAATTACTGAATTCTTGCGGGCATGGCAGAAAGTTAACGAATCTCGCGTCGTTAACCTTGTGCTCAATCGACCCAAACCTCCTCAACTTCAGGAATTTCTCACTAGTCTTGGCAGCTTCTCGACATCGAGTTTATCCGAGAGCGAGGCAGATCGAGTCCAGAAGGAGATTGACGCTCTCGTGATCCATCAAGACGACGGCTACTATGTTCGGCGGTGGCTTTGGACCCAGTTTCCGCTGATCGGTACTGCGTTTGAGAGCAGGGTTTTCCGCAGTGCTGCATCCAGTCGAAATTCAAAAAACGAGTCTAGCTCTGGCTTAAGAGAAGAGTCTGTCGGTGCTGAACCAGATCACACGTCTCTATCGTCAAGCAAGAAAAATGCTTCTTCGACGATGAAGACACGGCAAAGCACTGTAGGCGTTGTTCTGCCGAAAGGTCTTGGCAAACCAAAGAAATCTCTGGTTCCGGCAAAGCGCCGACCACCACACAAAGTTTCACCTTCGCACGGACCTGAAAGTTCTGCGGATAGTGAAATGGGAGCGTTGGAATTCTTGTCGGCGGAAAACAGCGAGGGTTCTTTGGGCTCCGTCTCGAAGCTGGAGGTTCGTGCCAAGTTACTTGTTGATGCTGTTGTTTGGATCTTTTAACTTTTTCAGTTTGTTGTTCTAGAGTCAATTGATGGAACTTCGGATGAAATACGACAGGATGAAATTCGTCGCTCGAGAGAAGAATGAAGCGCTCAAAGCTCTCCAATCGCGTTTGATGGACGCTAAAGCGGAGGTCAGTGCAGCGGGCCATAATGCAACGAAGATTGACGACCTGCTGGAGAATATTCGCAACGTGACCGATGAAGCAACTCTCGGTCGTCACCGGAGTGAGTACTACAAACTGATTCTGCGTCACTGCGAACTGTGTCCAGCCCGCGACCCGAACACAATCGAAACCGCAGAGGCATCCGTAGCGAAGATGAAGCGCGAAATCGTTGAGTTGCAGCAGAAAACTCAGGTCGTGTCATACGAGAAGCGGCTTGCCAGTCTTGATGTTCCGAAACTGGTGCAGGTGACGCAAGACAAAGCTTCAATTCACCAGGAGGCGCTCTCTCGACTACGGTGGCGCCAAGAGCTTGATCGTCGGCTGTACTACGCTAGTCTATCGGCGAAAGATGGCGGGCGGAAGCCTAGTATTGCCGCTGTTTCCCCACTTAGGAAAAACTCAGTGATCACTGGCACGAACTCCGCTACCCGTGCCAGTAGTGTCAGCTTCCCAGCAGATGATGACGTCGAAGAAACAGCACCCGTTGATCCCAATTTCTTCCGTGCCAAGGATAAGCTGATCCATATGAAGGAGACGTCGCTGGCTCGACAGAAGAACGTTGAGAACTTACAACTATATGTGGGTAGCGCCTACAAGGACGACGGGATACTGGGCGCCCTCCGACAAGTAGGTATCAACAAACCAGAAGAGGCCTTGGTTTGCTGGCAAAACCAGCTCGATCACTCCGTTCAGCTGGAAGAGGAGGAGAAGCAGGCGGAGCAACGCGTTCTTGAGTACCGAGAAAGGCTGGAAGTTCTTCAAGCGCAATTTGTGAATCTCAAGCTCAGTGGCAGTTCCAGTGGAAGTGGCTCATTGGAGGATGACGCGGCCAATTCTAACGGGGATGATGATGCCGCGGCTTCCAAGACGAAAATTAACGTGAAGATGATGGAGAAGCTATTGGCGGAGGCTAATGCGGTCAAGCAAAAGAAGAAAGAACGTGCCGCACGGTTGCGATCGCTACAAGAGAAGTTGCAACTCGGACTCTTGCATATCGCCGAGCTGTTGGGCGTGACGTCGATCCAGCAGCTAAGCGCATTGGAGCTGGTGGACGCGATTGAAAAAGTGGTTCGAGTAGTTGCTGGAGATGAAGCTCACCTACAGGCAGCTCCGAGCCCCAGTTTCCGTCACAAGAACAGCACTCGAATGGTGAATTTCGCAGGACAATCGGGAGATTCTGCGGGGCTTCCATCGGACACACGCAGTGACGATGACAAGGTGCGCTACAACATCCGTGTGTCGAGAACCGAAAAGCGACAAATGAATCCGTACGTGGACATCGAATTTGACGAGGACGATCGCGAGGATTACTATGACGAGGACGATGAACGGGATGATACTGGAAACAACACAGACGATAGTGATCATGAAGGATCACCGCCTAGGAGACAATTTTCCCCTGAACGCCGCGATTCCAACGTTGTGAAGAAGCGCCAGGACATCAAGAACCGCTCGAAACTCGAGCTGGAGAAGAAGAAAGCTGCACAGAAGAAAAAGCCCAAAGACTAAGCGTGTTAGACGGAGACACAGGCGTCAAGAGCGATTTGTTACCTTGCATTCTTTTTCTTTTCTTGTTAGTTATGGCGATGGAGTCGGTTTGTTTGTCTCCAGTCTGATCCTTCGACGCACTCGCTTTGGTGTCCTCCGTTTACCGTGGGCTTAGGCTTGCTGCTGGTGCTCGTCATCGTAAGACTCGTAATCGTCCTCATCGTACTCGTGTTCGTACTCGTACTCTTCAACAGGCGGGGCTTCAGGCACAGCCACAACGAGCCCGTCCAGCTCCTTCTGCAGCACAATCTCCGTGCCCAGACGCGAATTGGCCGAGCGGTCTTCGGCAGGGACGTACTTGTCGATAATGTGGCGCTCCTGGTTGTTGGCAGGCGGCAGTTTGGAGATCCATTCGTTGGACACCACAACGTGCGACTGCGGGGACGTCGAGCCCTCGCCGAAGAGCGACTCGGTGTAAAAGTCGGCGCGTCGAGCATCGTACACACCTCCACCGCCCATCGAGTCGTCCTTGATGTAGCCCACATTGTTCATCTCACAGGCCTGACGGAGTGTCTGTCCAGCGCGGCCCTTGACCACGTGGCGGTTGCCTTCGTAGTCCACGAGCACCACGTTCACTCTAGCATGAACAAGACCACCAGAACGTCATGAGATCATTATAAAGTCAAGAAGTCTAATGCAGGCAGGTAGGTTATTAAGACTCACACTTTCTCAGACACGGTGGGTGCAGACACATCAGCAGCGAACCCACCGATGAAGCGGCGGCTCGCGGCGCGCGACAGCGCAGACGATCGGAGAGCGCGGGCCAGCATCTTGTAGGCAGATAATAGGGAGGAGAGCTGGTCTTGAGCCACACAGCACCTTTCACTTGCTTAAAGTAATGAAATTGAATCATCGACAGTGATTGGCTGGAATATATAACCGGGTTATTTATCTAAAGGGATAACCAGGTTCTAGCTCTTTTTTACTCCCATTTTAGCTTCGTCCCAAGAAGGGGCTCATGGCGGGGGGTATGTACACCAAGATGACGTCTACGGGCTCGTCACTCATCGTGAACCCGCGGACGATATCCAAGGAGCTGGAAGCCAAGATCGCGGCAGCTATTGCGGGCGTGATCGCGTCCCATGACGTATCTAAACTGACTACGAAGCTGGTGCGCCAGGCTGTGGAGAAGGAGGTGCGAGTGAGTCTCACGAATCACAAGGAGGTGCTCAAGCGACTCATGCACCAAGAACTTCGCAAACTCAAGGCCAAGAAAGTAGCCAAACGCGCAGCCCCGGAACCCTGGAAAATCGCTATGAGACGCGAGAGCATCGTCAAAGGCCTCAACCGTGTCTACCAACTGGTGCGAGAATCCGGGAGTTTCCCAGGCTGGGGATTGCACGCTATCCAGTCGCTTTACGATCTGCAGGCAATAGAGGATGGAGAGATATTGCGTCTGGCCACACTCTACGCTAGACTCATTGGCGCCTTGTGGCTTAAGGAGGACCGCCAAGCTGACTGGGCCGTCGGCTCCATTCCCACGCCCACGCAACTCGTCAATGCTATTACTGCTGTTTTCCTCGTGGAGCGCCTGGGAATCTCCCATTCAAGACGTGTCGAGCTGTTGGATTTTTGCGATCGTTCGCCTGCTGTCTATGGAGCCAAGGTGAGACGCATGAAGATAACTAGGATATCGGGTTGGGTGGTTATCTCATTTTTGTTGTTGTTGAGCAGGAACTTCTCGGTTGGAACCCCGCAGAGAGCTCTCCGCCGATAGATAACATGAACGGAAGCTCGATATATGAACAACTGACAAGTGCGCTCGTTCTGTGGCATCACTCGAACGCGCTTGGGATCTCGATCGGATTCACCTTGCCGCACCTATTGCAACATTTGCTGTTAGTGTACCCATACAAGGGCCCTGGTGATCTTTCTCCCCAAGAATATGAAGATCAAGTGCACTTGGTCACAACCCTGGTATTTGTCCTTACAAACCATGGACGGCTCCGCTGCGAGACGGTACGACATTGGTCAATTCCGCTGCAATAATCAGCTACTAACACTTTCTTCTCGACTTCGACAGAACCTCCTTCCTCATGAGTATTTCTTCCTGCGCCATCATATTGTCTATCATCTGACGCAGCAAAATGCCGCTTTGCTCGGTGAATCGTTGCGGGTAAGTTGCTTTAGCACGAAGCTAGTGACGCTATCCGCGTAGAATCTTTACCAACTTCGAAGATGTGTGATGCGTAGGCGTTGAGATGCTTTGAAGGCTCAGCTAATCTGGTACAGATGCGCCGAGGAATGGCCTACTTGTTGTTAACGCAACGTGAAGATGGATCCTGGGTTAACGAATCTTTACAAAATGACCCCAACCAGCGCTACTTCTCCACTATGCAAGCATTATGGGCACTGTGCGAGCCTCGCCGCGTGGGATTTGCTCCTGCTTTTCCGGAAGCCACCCCGATCCTGGAACTCCACTTGAATGCGGACATTGAGGTTCCTGATGTGAGTGATATGAAGAATATGTGCGCTGTTTCCCTATTCTGACGTGTTGTCGACTACCATTGGTTATACAGGAGGCTTCTGCGGAGAACACTAAGAGTACTGCGACTGATGCCAAGGATGCAAGTGCCGATTCTGAAGTGGCAGCGGCAACGGCGGGTGCTCCATCCGAAAACGAAGACGTGGCAACGCGTGTAGCCTTCTTACAAGGTTTACTGGACCAGAACGGAAACGTGAAAAACGTTTCAGCTGCCTTGGCCACACATGTGTTGAGCACTCTCGCAGATATGGTGCTTACTGTTGATATTCTCAAGAGCACGGGTGTGGGACGTACTATTAACAAGCTACGCAAACACGCCACCGCCTCAGTAGCCAAAGCTGCCACACAACTGGTGGCAAAATGGAAAAAGGACTTGCTCTAGGCATACGTTGACGCAATATCACTCACTGTTACGAACATATTCATTGCCGAAATAATATCTTGATGTGGTTAGCTGACTTTCCATCGTCATATTACCAGGGACTGATATCTGCCAGCACTTTTTTAGCTGCTTTCCACGCTGAATTTGACGGGGTTTCAGGCTGTTCTGCTTCGTCGAAGGATCCGTAATGCTCGTCCCCTTCAGAAATCAACGACTCTTCCAGCTCGTATGGTGCGTGTCCAGAGCGTGGAGAGTAATCACTGTAAGACGACTCGGAATATCTGTCTGCCCACGATGAACCACTCGATCGACCTCGATCTTCCAACTCTTCTCTACGGCGATCCAACTTGTCTCGAGATTTCTTACCCAGAGATGACCTTCGCCGAGCCACCGAAGCAGGAGATAACCGTCTGTCTCGAGGTCGATTTGCCACAAAATATACCGAAAACAGGAAGCAACTCATGGCAACGCCAAACGCAACCACCAACTCCACACACATTATAATAGAGAGAAGACGATGGTCGATAGGTGGCGTATCTGGACTTGGCGGCGGAGTCACTGTTGAAAATAAACAAAGCGTAGAGCTCGGTTAACTAACACAACATTGCAGACGACTTAGTGTAAAGCAAGCTCACCTGCAGGCAACAAAATATTCAGAAGAGCTGCGGCAGCTAGCGTCGATCCCAAGTAGCTATCATCAAAAACTTGGACAGGTTTAGCATTGCGAGAGTCGTAGGCTAGCGTAAGAGCCGTAGGAGCAGGCGCCTTTGCCGAAAGCGCAAAAGGAAGTGATGACCGCGCAGGTGCAGTTGCCTCGCATATCATGTCCCTCGTTTTGTTTCGAACATAATCGGCTAGCCCTGGAAATTTGTTCTGATCAACCACAGCACATTAGTACAGCAATATCCATGCGACAAAAAAATGAAAAAAAAAAAAAAAGAATTCGCGATGTCAAACAAACCCTGGCAAAGCCCCGCTGGAGGTAGTAATTGAAGAGGACCCAAGTCGTGACTGCAGGGCGGTCTTCCCTCAATCCAGCAATTTCGGTCGCGTCCACCCCAGAGCACGCGAAAAAGGAAGCTGGGAACTGAGTGCAAAAGAAAGAGAATGAACCAGGCTCTGACAGGAAATGCTTCATCGAACGCATCTTTTTGTCTTCATCCAGTTCTGCAGCGTATCCAGGTAGAAATCCGCGTAAGGAATGAACTGAGGTCACTGATAATCTGCTGGAGTCTGCGAAGAAATCAGCAGATTTGTTCCACAGCCCTCGAGTGCTGTTATCGCCAATGAGTGCCCCCTCCAGGCCTCTGGCCATGGAACGTAGTTCTTTCATATCCTTCAGTAGCTCTTTTTGAGTTAGACTGAACTCCGTGCAGGACGACGAATGCTCCACGAGTACACGTCCGATGTTCACCAGGCTCAACGACGACCGCAGCATAAGTGCATTGAATTCCACGTCCTCCACTCCAAATTTCTCTGCCTCAACGCTGTTCGCAGCATTAACGATGGAATCCAACACGGCTGTGTTGCGGTTGTAGATCTCATTGCTTTCCCTACGATGGGTTTGTGCTGCGAGATACACCATAGGCTCATACAGGTTTTCCACGGCGTCCTCAGCTGAAAATATGGTACTAGCTCCTGCTGCAAAACGAGCTCGAGCTTCCTCTGGGATAGAACTAACGACTGTTTTGTAGTCCGGTGCATCCTTCAGGTCGGCGAGAAATGCCTGCCAGTGCGGCGACAGTGACGAAAACGTCTCCCAAGGGTGCTGTGGATCATCATAAATCGTAAGAAACATTAGTTTCCAGCACATACATTAGTTGGAACCTTGCCGCCAAACCTTACACGTGCAACGAGCAAACTGTTGGGAGAAGGACCGCGACGTGACGAGAACAAGTGCTTCTGTAGCATCTTCAACGGCTCATACACGTGACACAAGAATTGAACGGCAGTGGTTCTCACCCCCAGCACTGAGTCGTATGGGGCCAATCGGAAAATCTCCCAAGCGACGTCACCAGCCACTGGAGGAGCCGAGATCGTCGAGGTATTGAACGGCGACGCCGAAAGCTCCTCCTGTTTCTCGGATGACAACGTCTGTTGCCAGAATGCCGGACCTGGATGGAAGGTGCGATTGCTAGGGATCCAACGCAGATGAGATGGCACAGACGGCCCATATACCAAATGCGGCAATAACCCATTCGGCTTCTGATACTCAAGGATACGCTGGAACTGCGCCGCTGCCTGGTTGAAGTCCTCATGAGCCAAGGCTTGTGCTGCCAAGACAGCTTCAGCAGGTTTCTGTGCCACGGTTCCATGCAATAACTGCGTTAGGAATGGTCCCAGCACTCGAAAGTTTCTTCTATAGCTTCTATTTCGTTACCAGATACTGGAAGCCCACGACGTCGGGCTTCCCCGCCCCGATGCCGCCAAGCTCCACATCCACATGAGCCGCCAGTAGCATCACAGCGTCTCTTTGCAGCTTCCTCTCATCACACGGAGCATCTGCTGCCGCCAGAGCGAGCGTACACGCGGTCAGCAACCAATGCTTAAGACGCATGAGTCGGATCCTCTTGGAGTGAACGAATTACAGCCAGCTGTCCGAAAATGAAGTGTCCCAAGTTCAACATTTAACAGGGTATTGGTAAGCTCACCAACAGTAAGAGTGATTGTGAGACGGATCTTAATGGGACAACTTTCGTCGTGATCTTCAAACGACGCAAGTGTTGAAGCATGAGGAGCTGGAGTTTCCATGCGGTAGCGCTAACGAGCGGCACAACGGATGCGGTGCTGGCGGCCAAGAGAGAGCTGTTGAATCGCCTCAAGACAAATAGCGATCTCACGAGCTGGACGAGAAGCTGCTCGTATCGCGTCGTGGATCGCGCTGAGCTGGAAGAGCTGGTCCGTGTGGCACACGCAGAGGAGGTGGAGTCCAAACGACGCGAAGAAGAGGCGTTGAAGGGAGCTGCCATAATGGAAAGTGGGGAGAAAGGAGAAGCAGACCCATCTCCGCATACAGAAGCGGAGGAGACGACGCGAGTTGAATTAACACCTCCACTACTGGCACTGGCATTCCAGCGAATTGTGGGTCACGACAAGCGAGAGTTTCTCGCATACCAACAGAGAGGCGTAAGCTCAGTAGAAGAAGAAGGACAGCAGATGCAGAGTCATACACAGGAGAAGGAGGCTACTCTGTCCGAAAACAAGAAGACGCCAGCTCGTGTGTATTTATTGGTGGACTACCCTTCATCTGTCCTGGAGATAGATGCACTGCTGCGGTTGGGAGAAGTTGGCAGTGCATCACAAGTGGCTGACAGACCGGAGAAGCTACCGCTGTTGCCGCTGATAGACGGAGTGGTGCTTCTAGCTGATCCGTCGGCTGCTCCAGGTCGAAACAAAAGCGGATCAACTAATCTCTTGCAACAACCTGCTGGAAAAACGAATGGTAGCGGCCCAAGAGCGGATCCATCCATATTTCAGACAGCAAATGGTATCGTGAAGATGCTCTATGAGGCTTCACTGATGGGAGGTGTGGAATGGAGCGATTTCACTTTCACAAATGTGACCTGCAGTACAGAAGCGTCAACGATCAAACAGCCTGATGACCTCGAGAAAGAACTTGTCAACACTGTAGAAGCGATTGCTGCTCAGAAATTTGCATTCAAGGACTGGGTGGGGTCAACAAAGTTTTCTGTTATTCCTAGTTTCTCGGATGAGGAGGGAAGTGGAAGTGATACACTTTTCAACACGTATGAATTGATGCTAAGCGGTGTATTTCCTGGTAGTGTCGCAGTCAGCACGGTGCTCTTTGCCATGGCTGAGGCCATTGCTACGACCTATTCCTCTCAGACAGCATCATACGATCCCTGCCGCAGAAACCAGTCGGATCCATCTCAACTTGAAGAATTCCTTGAGCATGGTGACTTGGTCGCATGTCGAGTTGCGAGTGCTCAACTCTACCATGAAGCGTTACAAGCAGAAGGAGACCCTTGTTTCTTACCACACGGAAAGCATCGCCTTGACGACATCGAAAGAGCCATGTGGAAACGATGCGATCTACCAGGTGTAGGAAATGGAGGGCGGAAGGCAATGCCTCGCGTGGCAGAACTGTCTGAGCCGGAACGTAGTGTTCGCAACACGGAACTCGCGACATTCTACACATCACCAAGATTAAGCTGCTCGATGGTACATTTAACCAGACAACTCTTGCAAGTCGAAGAGATGCTGGGAAGTACTTGGCGGGAGAAATTGCAGTCTCGTGCGTTTATTGAAAACTTGCCACGTGCTGTTCTTCCTCAACGGATCGCGCTGGTGCTTCAACAAAACTCTCCCGACATGTATTCTAGCTACTATGCGCCGACAGACTCACTCTTGTTATCGTGTCTCCCACAAACTGCACCTGGTCGAATGCAAGTGTCATCCTGGACAGCTCGTGATCGCGTGCGTCACCGACCAGCATTCAAATACTGGAAGCGTGAACAGCTCGCTACGCAAGAATATCTAACACCACGCACGGAATCTGCAGCAAGGGCGTGTGTTCCGTTATCTGCCGGACAGCTTACTCTCGTGGCAACTCAAACCTGGTCAATGTATCCTGCTGATCACAGTGTAGTGCGGCTATATCAGACACCTCGAGGATTCGTATGGCTCACAGTTTATCATCAAGGGTAAGTTTACATTTGTTTTTATTGATGAAGTGCTATCCTTTTCGTTATTTAACTCCTGCACATTTGACAGGGAAACATTCGGGCTACGACAGGGGATGGAGGAGATGAAACACGATAACACATTAAAACGAAAAGATAGTATGCCGGACTCGAAGCAAATGCTTCAGTTTATTGCGTCATTTCAAGACGAATCTACACTTTATACCTCCGAGGGGAGACGAAAGTTTTCGAAAAAACCCGACAAGTTTTCCACTATCGCGGTAACCAATTCATTCCCAAGCGGCCTCATCGTCTCCGCTTGTTCTGACGGCAGTATCACTCAGCGGTACGCTCAGACTTCAGATAAACGGGCTCATCACTCCGGCGCTAGTGTCAAAAATGATCATGGAGAACACGAGGCCAGCAATGCTGGAGCAATAAATGGGCTACACGAGCATGACGAAGATGAGATGTATCGCGTGATTTACGGAAAGGGGAGCGTGCTAAGAGTGCTTCGATGTGGACGAAAAGAAGTCATGTTAGCAAGTGGCATTGTTCGCGTCGTTCGAGCCTGTAAGAATCATCACCACAAATCGAGAAAACCAACCAGCCAGGACTCTGAATTTCACCCTCCACAGGTTACAACGCTCACAGTTGATCCAGAAACCAATGCGTTGGTCGAGAGAGGCCCCAGTGGTGTTATCGTTGTCACTCGTACGAATGGTGCTCGCGTGACGTATCATGCGGATGGCACAAGGATGTACATGAATGCAGCAAGCACACACGTATTCGTGAAGAAGCGGGGCTTTGCAGATGTGTGCATTGACCTGGAAGTCAACGTGACAGCCCAACACCACGCAGCAGGAGAGCGTGTAGCAGTTACAAAAGGTGGTCTACGTGTGCGCAGCATTGTGAATGCCTACGACGGAACGAGTATTGAAATCAGCTATAATACAAAAGTTACGGCGCAGGTGAATGGCCGAGTAACAACCCGAAAGCCAAGTGGACAAGTCATTGTGGCGAAGGACAGCGGAAGAGTGGAATATAGCTCACTAGACTATAACAAGTTCGCCTCCAAGGACGACGACGATCGAGACGTAACAAATCATAATGGTGTTTATTACTTCGATTGTCGTCATGGGCGATTCCAGCTTTGTGACAACGAGCAGAACCAGTTTCAAGTGGATTTCAGTGGAACAGACGAAGAAAGTGGACCCGCCGTTGCTGTTGATCTCGCTGGAGTAGTAAGCGAAAGTGAGGCGGCTCGATACGACGTGGATAGCATCCCTGCAAAAGCAGTCATTAACGAACCGATCCAGCCCCACATTTTCGTCCTTAACGGTGATGGCACCGGAGTCGAGATTCTGAGACCGCAAGATATTGCCGAATTCATTGAGAGTGCGGTGCCAGAAAACGAAGTCAAGGATTTAGCAGAAACAGGAGCATCGACTCCACGTCGTCATGTTTTCCTGCGCAGATTAAATACACCTGATGCTTCGGGACTCCAGACTCACTTCTTCAACGACCCTCAGCTACATGAGGAAATGCTGAAGCTCCAACGACCCGTAGGAACTGCGGGAAAGTATCTTCCGCACTACTTTGATGAGGTAAAACATTCATTTGTACTGAAACAGTTTACAATGGTGAGGCGGGTCGAACAAAACCAACCGCTGTCTACCGATGAATTGGACGAAATGCGAGCTGGTTGGATCAAGTGGGAGCAGTGGCAAAAGGATCGTGAAGCGAACAAGGAATGCTACAAAGTTGTGGACCCTCGTCAGCCTGATGCGATTGCCCAGGAGATCGCGATGCAGAAGAAAGTGATGGCTGCGTATAAGGCGGCTCGTGCACGGAAGAAGATGGCTCGACAGAAAGCGCGAGAGATGAAGGCGAAGAGTGTCTCCCAGGAAATGAGTCCTGGTCGCATGGAGACAGTTCAGGAGGGTGAAGAGGCATTGGAAGCGGTGGGCGAAGATGAAGAGCATTCGGACGATGAGTTTGGTCAGTTTGGATCGGACATGAGCGACGATGACGTTGGAGACACTTTTGAAGTGGACGATCCGATGGAGTTGCTCTGGTCTGCGTTCTCTCAAGCCGACGCAGGAGGCAGGGGACTGCTGACTGTTGCACAAAGTGCGTATGATATGATCTATCGTTCTAGCAGTTTGAATCCGTTATTACCCTCATCTGGCTGTGCTTGTGATTGTTGTTGTCAGCACGCATAGGTGTGGCCAATGTGCTAGGTATTGGCGTGACGACAAACGAGCTAACGGAGGCGCTCGTGCGGTTCAAGATCCCCTACCCGTTCAATGTACGTACATCATGAGCTGTTTGTCCATGGTAACCTGCTCAGTACCTGCTGCTGTGGCACAGGTGAGCTTTGACGTATTTGTCGACCTCGTGGCGTTCTTCCGCAAGGGTGACAGCGACAATCAGGACCCAGTAGAGTCAAACGCAGCGACGAACCACATCCCATCACTGATGGGCGTGACAGCAGAGCAGCGCAAGGGCCAAAACCGCGCTGCAGCTGGGTCTGCTGCCGAGGCCATCCGGGCGAGACTTTACCATGCTGTGTAATGTAAATGTAGCCATCCAGGAAGTGTAGCCATACTTTCAGATCTGGTATTCGGTTCAAGAGGTGGAATAAAGACGAGACGAAATAAATGCAGCAAACCAACGGTCGCTCAAGACGCAGCCAGTCATTTTGCATTTGACGCATTCATCAGTACGCAGCAGCAGCACAAATATGACCGGCCCTCCGTCCCCCAAGCGCCAGCGCACCGATGACAACAAGCCTGACGAGAAGGTGCAGAAGGTTCTCGAGTCCGTTAAGCAGGTGGAGGAGGAGCTCGAGAAGGTGAACGTGGAGCAAGCCAAGGAAATCCTCGTCATCGAAACCAAGTACAATGCCAAGAAGCGCCCCACGTACGTCAAGCGCAACAAGCTGCTGGCCGAGATCCCGCACTTCTGGAAGCAAGTGGTACGCTCTGCTCTATCATCACTGGGGTTTGAACTGTTACGAGTATGCACTCACTCAACCTGCCTGTTAACCTGCTTGTTGCTACAGTTTGTGAACCACCCGCTTGTCGGCAACTACCTCACTGAGGAGGACGAGATGCTCATGGACTTCTTGCAGACATTTGACATCACGTTCGTGGGCGACGACGGAAGTTTCAAGATGGAGTTGGTGAGAACCCAATTAAGGTTTGATTTGTTGGACAGAATGTACTAACTGGCTGCTTTTGTCGTGTTTGAATCGCCATTAGACCTTCCAGGAGAACGATTATTTCTCGCCTACGACCGTGTGGAAGCAGGTCAAGTTCTCGGAGGACGGCGAAGAGGTGGAGGTCACTGCCTCGGAGCTCACCTGGAAGGACAAGGCCGAGATGACGGAGGAGTCGGAGAAGTTCCCATTCTTTCAGGTAGAGTAACGTGCTTGCTATGATGTCGGTCTTGCTTTGTTGGGTATTCGTGTCTAATCAAATCAAATTATGTGTTATTATTCAGTGGTTCGTCTCGACGGACGGTGACCAGGACGTTGCCGAGATCATTAAGGAAGAGATCTGGAAGAACCCCGTACCGTTTTACATGATGGTACGCGTTGAGTTCTGCAGTTGTATCGGGCGGTAGGCAAACTTACTAATTAAATGTGCTGCCATATTAGGACGAGGACGAGGAGGAAAGTGAGGGTGAGGAAGAAGAAGGCGAGGGTGAGGAGGAGGAGGCTGAGGGTGACGACAAGGAATAAAACACACCTCTAGACCCAGCCGAGTATCTACCGCTCAGACACGAACATTGCCAATAATGAATTCTCTTTCTGCTTCTTTCCTTCGACTTTTGTCGCTGGTCAGAGTATCTATTTGGTGTCTTGTTTGCGCTTCTCCATCGAGTTTCGTACTGCCTTTTAAGTGCTTTTCTTCTTCACGTACATGGCACTGGGAAGCCACTTAATTGGGTTGCGATTATAGATCGGCCAGTTTGGCAAAACCAACTGCAGTAACGACAACAACAAAAGAAATTGTAAGTCGGGTCAATGCCACGTGTCCCACGCGTTAGAAGTCTGTACCAATGCACTGAGAACCGTAGCAGCGACCCAGGCCTGGAACGGGTACGAGAAGTCCTGCTGGAAGTAGCCGTAGATCCACGCGGGCGTGCAGATGACCACGAAGCATACCACAAGCAAAGTCTCCGCGCGTGCCTGCCCCTTGTAGTCCACCATCACCGTCTTGGAGCAAGTGCGATTTTGGAAAACCTGCCTTTTCTGATACATTCTAATTGGGACGAAGTCCAATGAGCTCTCCGATTTAGCATTTTTTACGACTCGTATTTGCTCTTTGATTTAGTTCTTACGAAGGGTTTCGAAATAGGTTAGGGTATGAATTTTAATCTCTAGTCACACTGGGCCAAAAACTTGCGAAAAAACTTCTGATTAGCGACACTTGAAGGTGGTATTGGAAGCATCAATTAGCACTTGTACTTAAGTTGTCATCTGATATGTCACTAAAACCATGTGCCATTTTATGAAACAGGGAAATGGTCACTTTGAACTAGGAAAAGTTTAAAACGCTACTTTTTGGGTGCATTGTTAAGGCCCTTAGAGCATCTCCAGCGGTTAGACTTATTTGCAAGTCCTATTGAGGCGGATGGGACCTCAATTTTTAGTATAGAACTCCTGATTGCATCTTGTCTACAGTGGTTTGGAACTCACAGCACGGCTTAACATTTTTTGTCCAATCAAACTACGACACAAAAGATCTCTCTAGATACCGCATTACCAGAAATTCACGAAGGAGTGAAGCGCTGGTGACGTCAAGTATGGACGACTACGACTCGGAAGAAGAGTACTATTTCACCTACATGTTACCTGAGGGAGGGGTGGACAACACGAGCGCAGTGCGGGGCAAACACGGCGGGTCTACCAAAGGCAGGAGAGCAAATAAAGAGCGGGATCGAGAAATATGGGGAGAACGTCTAATGAGCGACTACTTTGGTGACAACCCAGTCTACGATGAGGGTATGCTATTTTCTGTAAATGAAATGTTCTCCTTTAATGACCATTAATGTTCATGGCTACTGCAGGTGACTTTCGCAAGTGATTTCGAATGCGTCGTGACCTTTTTGAGCTCATTACAATCGCCCTGGTTGAGGATGAAGAGCGCAGCTAATTCGTCCAGCGCATTGACGCAACTGGACGTCCTGGTTTCCTACCAGAACAGAAGGTAACGTGTGCTTTACGGATGTTGGCATATGGAGCATCAGCAGATCAATTAGATGAGCTGATTCGTATGGCTGAGTCCACAGTGTTGGAGACTTTAAAGCTGTTCTGCAGAAATATTATCCGGTTATTTAATCCAGAGTATCTTCGAAAGCCTACCAAGGATGACTTGGAAATACTTGTTGAGAATGCTGAACGCGGGTTTCCGGGTTAGCTTGGACTGTATGCACTGGACATGGAAGAATTGCCCAACGGCATGGCAAAGAGCTTTTCAGGGAAAAGAGAAGTGCTCGACGGTGATCTTGGAAGCAGTGGCTTCTAAGTCGTTATGGATTTGGCATGCATTCTATGGAATGCCTGGCGCCAACAACGATTTGAATGTACTCGAGCGTTCTCCTTTGTTGAATGACCTGGTAAACGGTGTTGCCCCCAAGATTTCCTTCACTGTGAATGGTGCGACGTACAATCAGGGATACTATCTTACAGATGGAATTTATCCTGCCTGGGCAATTTTTCAATCCAGTATCAGCGCGCCCCAAGGCAAGCGTAAGTATTACGCTGCCCAACAGGAAGCTGCTCGCAAGGACGTTGAACGCACTTTCGGAGGATTACAACAACGCTTTCGAATTCTTGCCCTACCTTGTAAACTATGGAGTGTCGATGCAATGAAGGATGTGATGCTAGCTTGCATCATCCTCCATAACATGATTGTGGAAGACGAGCAGCGAATTCCCTCACTGAATCATCAGTATCTGTTCGAAGATGAATGGGTCAGCCCGGCAGAAGTTGGTGTACCAGATGAGTGCCCAGTCGCAATGATAGGAAACGCGATGCAAGTGCTGGAAGACGAAGAACTTCACTATGAACTAAAAACGGATTTGATCGAACACGTATGGCAATGCTACGGTGATCTCGGCTAGCAAAACTTTTCTCTGGATCCTGTCTGATAGGTTTTCAAACTAGACTACGGCAGAAGCCCAGCTAAACTAAAGTACTCATTTGATTGTCAGCAACTTGACTTTCTTCACCCTCGTCATTGTTTAGTCCTGCCACGTGTGGTGCATTGAACGCACGCTCAGGTGTTTCCAGCTCTTCGCTTTGTTGTAACTGCCCGCGCTCTTGTGAATCAGCAAGTGTCTTCCTCATGTTGGCGAGGATGGTTTTTCGCTGCATAGTAAAATATTCTTGTGACTCGTAGCTGGTGGGATTCTGCAAGAAGATAGATAGATGAAGATTTTGCTCCATTACAGCGACCTTCTTTTCGGTGGCAACAACGAACCTGAGATGATCTTCACCCCCAATCGAATGGACTGCAGTGCTTCGTTGATTCCCCTTAGATTTGGCGTTAGCCGCCTTTGCTGCTTTGCGGCCATCTGGTCTCTCCACGGACGCGACATCACTTGTTCCTCGCTTGACCCCAATAGATGAGGCCGATGTGATCTTGCTACACTCCTCTGGTGGACTCGATGAGAGGCTTGGCCTGGGTTGGTCTCGTCTTGGCGGGACGCGGGATGGTTGGGGTGGCGTAGCGTGGATACTCTTCAGGCTACGCGCCAGGTAGGTTGTCGATCTTGATCGACTTGGGGTGTGGTTGTTCCTTTGCGGGGGTTTCAACAGTGGATCGTGTCCCGGAGGGTCGATCGTGTATCGAAATGACTGCGCCATGTTGATCCACTCCGATGATTGCGTAATCTTTATCGATGATAGCGTAATCACTGACGCACCGTCGTCGACCACGGGTCTCAGGGCTGGATCGGGTCACTTCCCATCAATCAG